TTTATAATGCATGCACTTCTCAGGCACTTGCACAGATTTGTTTTAAATAATTCCCCATGAATAGGGAAGACACGTCCCTTTGGACCCACCAAAGGCTGCGAAGCTGCGAGACAGGAGGAGGCCCTTTTCTCTCGGAAGCTGGGAGCAGCTCTGTGGTCGAGCTCATGGGTGAAAGGTGGAAGCCAAGAGCCCAGGTCCCAGCCTGGGGCTGCCTGGCAGCAGGCGCCTGGCAGGGTGGGAACGGGGAGCCCAACACGCCAGCTGCTCTGCAGGAAGCCCCTTTGCAGGCAGGCTGCCTGCAGAAGCGTGCCGCCCTGGGACAGGGGGAGCGGGGCTCACGCTGCCCACCTGGGAACAGCACCCACACGCAGAGCCCGCGGAGGCTGCTTCGCCCTAACCTCACCCTCCTGCACCATGCCACAGCCCGCGCGGGCAAATCCCACCAGCAGTAAAAGCAGCAGGGCTCTGCGATTCTTCCCCAGAGGACAGCGCACAAACCCACTGTTGCTCCAGACCCAGGGAGCACGTGAAACCCTGCAAGCGTAGAGGTGGCGGGCTTTGGTCGTTTCCTCACAGCAAAGCTCAGTGCATCCCAAGCCTCCTCATTCTGACTTGCACCACCTCCAGAGGACAGCTCTGGTTCACACCCAGCCTGAGCTGCTTTCAGAAGTGCCTCAGCAGAGTCTTCTCCTGGCAGAGAAAAGATGATGTACTTACTTTTGGCACGTTCATTCCAAATAAAGGAATCATGCCCTGTTTTCTAGTTAATTTTCTTGATACGGTTTCTGCAAAACCTTTTTCCATTCATTGAAGCCTTCCTTGAAACCTTTCTCATATAAATTTGTTGCAATTTAAAAAAATCTATTTTTTTATGTCGCTTATTTTGTCTTCTATTGAAATAAATCTGTTTTGAAGCATTTTCCATCTCCATTTTGCCACCTTGTCATTTGTTTTGCCTTATTTCTTATTTCTTTTGCCCTGTTTCCTTTATTTCTTATGTTTTACTGGAGCAATATTTCTTAGGTTGGTTCTATGAATGTACATACAAAATACAAATTGCAGAATAAATACAAAGGTACAATCTTTTCATTTTAATCATCTAGTTCTGGTATGTTTAGTTCTATTCCACCTCTTTGATAGACTTTGTGATTTCTGCCTATGTGCAAAAGGGAAGCATTTTAGGTACCACAGCCTCACTTCTAACTTTTCCTATAGTCATTGGTCTAAACACTTCTTTCAAATTAGGTGTTGTATGCATTTTTATGGAGCACATTAAGCTCATTATGCATAGCAGTTTTAGAGCACAAGAACTTGTAATTTAAATATGTCATATGCTTTGAATAACTGCTTTAAGTGCAAGACTGTCAAGGGAGAATATCAATAAAGAGCTAAATACTAAAAGGTTTTCAGAAACAGAAAATGTTAAAAATTAAAGAGGAGGTATTCATTCTGTCAGTGTTTCAGGATTTTACTACTACTTCAGCTGTTAAGCAGAGCAGTAATACAGTTACAGTCTTCTTGTAAGAAGTTGGCTCAAACTATTAGTAGAATGGTTGGGGTTTATTATGTTGGATTGTTTGGGGATTTTTTAGGAGCAGGAAGAATGAGAAAGAGAAAAGATCAGCATACATCTTGTTAATCCTTTATTTTGCCATTTCTTTCATTCAGAATGAATAGCTGTACTGTCAGAGCTAAGCATACCTGCAAAAGCTTGTTTGCACAGAGCATCACAAGGCTCTGACCAAAGAGCAAACCACCTTCTCACGCTCCCTCTCCCCAAGCAAAGCCCAAACTTGTCATGCTGCTTAGCACTTGCTCTCAGCCCTGGTGATGCTGTTAACCTCTTCACCATATTTTCCTCCAGAATGAGTCGTAAGTGTAAACGGCCTCTTCTTCTCTTTCTTAGGATACTTATTTCTGCTACTCCCTGACTTTTACCTGTGTCATCCGACATTATTTTTTTTTTTGTTTTCCCCTCTAAGCCTCCACTTTCTTTCTCTAAGTCTTCTCAAAGCTCTGGTCATGGAGTCAAAAACTTATGATGGTAATTCCCAAATAAATTCTCAGCTTGTTCTTTAACCTTTTTTCCACTCCCCTTGTTCAAGAGTAAGGGCTATGATGGAATAATGCAAAGGTTTAAATCTGTGTCTTCAAGTCACTTCACATCTTAGGGCCCTCTATCAAGCTCAGTTAAAAAAACATTTTTGGAAAATTTCTCATATTTTCCTTCTTCAAAAGCAAAGGTGTTAGTATCAGACTTGGTTTTGTTAATCATTTGATTCAGATAACTGAACTGTCTCATTATCATTCAGTCAAGAGACATTACAGGAAGCTCAAGAGAAAAGTTACCAGAAAAACAATGGAATCCTTCTCAGATGCAAAATTAATGGAAGAGACAAAGAGAGAATTCATTTCTTGAAAGGACAGAGGCTCCTTTTCTTTCTGGCTCTGACATGGGTAATGCAAGAAAAGAAGAGAGGGGGAAATATAAGCAAAAAAGAGTAGCCTTCTCCATTAAACAAGCCTTTCAGAGCACACATATCTTTGGCTCTTTGGCATCTTTCCCTCCGCGAGATGCACACCCCGATGACGCAGAGCTGACCTTTCTGTAGAGTGAGCTCTGCTGAGGCACTTCTGAAAGCAGCTCAGGCTGGGTGTGAACCAGAGCTGTCCTCCGGAGGTGGTGCAAGTCAGAATGAGGAGGCTCGGGATGCACTGAGCTTTGCTGTGAGGAAACAACCAAAGCCCGCCACCTCTACGCTTGCAGGGTTTCACGTGCTCACAGTGGGTTTGTGCGCTGTCCTCTGGGGAAGAATCGCAGAGCCCTGCTGCTTTTACTGCTGGTGGGATTTGCCCGCGCGGGCTGTGGCATGGTGCAGGAGGGTGAGGTTAGGGCGAAGCAGCCTCCGCGGGCTCTGCGTGTGGGTGCTGTTCCCAGGTGGGCAGCGTGAGCCCCGCTCCCCCTGTCCCAGGGCGGCACGCTTCTGCAGGCAGCCTGCCTGCAAAGGGGCTTCCTGCAGAGCAGCTGGCGTGTTGGGCTCCCCGTTCCCACCCTGCCAGGCGCCTGCTGCCAGGCAGCCCCAGGCTGGGACCTGGGCTCTTGGCTTCCACCTTTCACCCATGAGCTCGACCACAGAGCTGCTCCCAGCTTCCGAGAGAAAAGGGCCTCCTCCTGTCTCGCAGCTTCGCAGCCTTTGGTGGGTCCAAAGGGACGTGTCTTCCCTATTCATGGGGAATTATTTAAAACAAATCTGTGCAAGTGCCTGAGAAGTGCATGCATTATAAATTCGCATGTACTTGTCTTCTGCCTCGCCAGGGGCCTGTGGTCTGTTTCTGGAGCACCCCTAATCAGGACACACAGAGCCCCTGCCTGCCAAGAAGATACACCAGGCCGCACAGCTATGTGTGAAAAGTATTTCATGAAAAGTAGAAAAATAGTAGTAACCAACATCTTAACCTTTTCAAATGTGTGATTGTATGCTGTAGTTTTGAATTTCATTATTATTATAATAGTTTCTTTCTTTGATGCAGGAATTATTCGAAGTACATGGGAATGATGGAAATGATAATTGGTATTCAGTTCTTCAGAAGAACTCTTTTCTGTGAAAAGTTGAAATGCATTATTGTTAGTACCTTAACTCATCTGTCATACGGTAAATGTATATGTTAATGAACCGGATAATGTTAATATTAGGGGATAGATTAATGAATAGAATTTTAAATAAAATTGATACAGCCAGAATCCCTCTACACAGAACTAGTTGCTGCCATTTTACAAAATACCATTCATGGCTGATCAGATATCAATTTTAAAGCATTAGTAAGTATTTAATTACATTTCCAAAATTTAGTTGTCTTTCCGTTACTTATTTACTTGCTCTAATTGCCCTTTGTTGTCTTCACTGGACTTTGATTTCTGTGTGGAGCATTTCTTATAATGTGCGTGCATGTACAAATTGCATTACTATACCAAGTAAATATAGTTGCTTATATCTACCCCCCAAAAAGGAGCCCACTGAGCTGAAGTAGTTGCCCATAAGCCAACTATTTTGTTAAATATTTCTGATTAAGTTTTTTCTTCTATGGGTCGCTCCTCAGAGCCAAGTAGATCAGTTTACGTGTGTCTGTGACAAAGCCTCAGAGTGCACTGTAGGCAGTAGTTACAAGGGGAGAGGTTTAACGGGCTGGAGACCCTGCTCCCAGGAATCTTCCACTCTCTTAAGGAGTTGGCCCCTAAGTGGGTTTTTGAAGGTATTTATGAATTTTGGACAGATACACTAATTGCAAAACCAGACAAATAAGATGCACCTTTGGATATTTTTCTAGAATAGCATTTTCTAACTAGAATGCATTAGATTGACGTTAGTAAAAAAACAAACAAACTAAAAAAATCCCGACGAGTCTACAGGCATCTTAACATACAGCACTTAAAAGTCAGTGCCATAGGTTACATCCAGCAGACAGATCAGGCGCTGCGTTGAGTTCTTGGGAACAAAGATGGGGAGGTCTGTGCATGTGTCTGTAGATTTGTGAGGAGTTCTCAGAAAAAAGCCTCTGAAAACAGGTTGGCATGTCTGCTGTCAGTGAAAGATGAGGAGAGAGGGAGGGATGGATTAGTACAGTTTGGATGGTACATTTGTGTGATGTATACTTAGGGCAGACTGTGGTATTCCATTTGCATGTGTTAAATCCTCAGTCTCTCAAAGTATTTACTTCTGTTATGTGATTGTGTTGGGGAATGTCTGCACATACAACATTAATGTAAATTCTTCTCTGTTTGGACATGCATTCAGCAAATTAAGGTCAAATTGTTTTATCTAGGTGAATATTTGTAAATATTTAGCATTGTTCATTTAAGGATTTTTCTGTGCTTGAACATGCAGTATGCGAGTTGAGGCCTGGCTGGTGGACGGCCTTGGGGAAAAGGGGTGCCTGCTCTATGTTGGTAAAGACCACCAAGAAGTGTGATTTTAGAGCCTTGTGCCTTGCTGCTTTCATAGATGGAGGGTGATGGAAAACGACGGTGGTGCCTGGTCTTTTCTGAGCTTGAGGTAAGGGGGAAAAGTGGACAAAGAAGAACAGTGAGAAAGTGCTGTTTGGAGAAACCTGTTTCTGTTACATACCCACCAGGAATGGGATGAACTGGTGGCTCTGCTCACCCTCAGTAGCATGACTGTATGCTGCTGTTACGCATAATTTTCATCTCTCCTGAGTAACCTTTACTTAGGGCAAAATACTGAAGTTTGGTCTTGGAAAATGCTGCGTAAAGTTTACTGTCTGGAGTATGTCTGCCTCAGTATACTGATGCTGTCTGGCTGGTTGACGCACATGGGGCGGTGCTGACATGCACGTCAAGAGCTGTGCTTGCTCTCTGCCCTTCCTTGCGGACCTGTGGGGAAAGTGCCGGTGCCCACGCTCCACGTAGAGAGCAGCTCGTGTACTGCATGGGCACTAGCTGCTGTCTAGCACATCGGTAGCAGATCAAATGCGCTTCCCACTTGGAGGGCTTGTTGGCAGCCTAACCCATGCAGTCCTGTACTTGACAGAGAAATGCGGGGATTTTACACAGGTGTTTCTGAATATCTCAGCATGATTGTGTGTCATCCCCCATAACATCCTCCTTGTTTTTCCATACGCTAATATAAACTCCCTTGTTCAGCATTAGAAACCTTCTGCTCTTGTTCCGTATTGTTCTCTCTTGTCAGTACACAAGCAGAATAACTAATTCAGCATCAGGTGTGACTTTCCAATAAACTCTAACAATGGTCGTGGTGGGGGGAGGCATCTCAAAAGGCAATGGTTATGTTCAGACAAAGTTTTAAGCCTTTTTTTTGAGCGAAGGCTCATGAATTCATCTGCATCTTCCTTAGCATTTATGAGGTTGTAAGAAGTAGAGTCTGTGGATTGAATTACTTTCAGGAGGAAGGTTTCATGATGGGTGCTTGAACTAAAAGAGGCGATGTGGTTTTTATTGTGTTTTTAATAAAAAGAGGCTTCACTACTTACACCATTTTCCTTTATGAGAGGGACTAGCGTCCTGCTGAGGCAGATGTTGCTGCACGTCTTGCTTTGTCTTTAAATTCAGTTAACATCGATCATGGATCTGATTTGGCCTGCACTGCTGTGTACAATACAAAAGAGAAAATTAAAAAATACCCAACTAGAAGAACCTCACTGAAGCTAAAAAGCAGCGAGCAGTGTGCAAGATAAGAATTCCTGGTGACTAAATATACAGTAATATGAATATGTTAAATTATAGTACTGTACGTGCCATTTTTAAAAGAATGATTTATTTTTGATGAAAAAAATACAATTAAATCAGATCTCTCCTGAATGTTCTGCCTGTCATTTTCTTTAGCCAGTAGAAACCTGCCTTTCTGGTTTATGAAGCCATGGTGCTAACATGTACAGCAAGATGTTATGACTCATTCGAACAATTCTTTGTTCTCTCTTGAAAGCATTGCTGATGGTATTTTCAAATATACTTGGGTTTACACGTAAGAATGCAAGCCTCTAGCAAGTCTGAGCTTAATGCAAGGCAGATTATGTAATTTTTGCAATGCCGTATGATGTGAATGTAATCCTGCTAACATCTTTGATAGTTGATAGTTTTAGTTTGAAGTTTTGCTGAATTTTGCCTTAATTTTATTAGGGGAAATAAGATGGCTTTTCTTAGTTTGCAAAACTTTCCTCAAATGCAGTAAAAATGTATTTCAGGACTGAGAAGTAGCCACTTAGGGATCCATCAGCAAAACTGCTTTCTTAACACCACTTGAAGAGGCAAGTTACTTGCATGAAACCCTGAAATCATGTGGCTTAAAATGGGGACTTTAATTGAATATAAGGTTGCAGTGGTTTCAGCAAGGGTCGGTGTTTTACCTGAAGAGTGCTCCTCAGTGCTGGGAAGGTGAGGTTAGAGGGGTGTGGGGATACGGGCTGGCTCTCACCCTGGCAGTTCCCTTGCAAAGCGCTACCTTGTGTATATGCAGGCATTGCTGAAGGATGTGAAAGGGGTTGGCGAGGAGGGCTACAGAGGCTACTTCACAGTCTGTTTTGGCTGAGGATAACCAGTGTTGAGCATCTTGCTGCTGTAAGGCTGGAGAACCCCCAGCCATTGTAAGCTGCATGGTTTTGCTCAGCATTTCCCCACAGCTGGATGACTTGTTTCTCCAGGACTTGCAGTGATGGAAGTCTTAACGGAGCTGTGTCAAGAGAATAAATTTACAGCCCTTTATGTTTTCTCTCAGCCTAGGAATATAAGTAAAAAGCAGTTAAAAAGCTTTTTACGCATTGTTACCATTTAGCTCTGAAAGGAAAGAAGGGAGTCTAATTTCAGCCAAACCAGGTGTGAAATGTGTGTGTTTCTTGGGGATAACACACTAGCTGTAGCCTCCACAGGAGGAAAGCTGTCCCAAAGACTCCTTACGTAGAGCCCATTGCAGTCCTCAGCTGACTGAAGAAGACTTCCAGCCAAGAAGGCTCACTGAATCCTAAACTGGTGCAGAGTTACCTAAGTTAAACTCCTATAAGACTTTAAGCTTCTTTGTTATGTTAGTATCTTTGATTACTCCCAGGAGTGTGTATTATTATTGTAAGATGCCTGAATGGAAAATTGGCAGCTTCATCTTTGCCACTGGATTACTGTTTCTTAGTTCTCCTAATAAAACTAACTGACGCTATGAATAATGTTATTGGTCAGACAAAGACTGGAAAGCTCATAGAAAGCAAACAGATTTGAGCTTCACGATCACAGAAGCTGAGCATGCCTTCGGTGGGCACCACTCCATGTCCCGTGTAAGCCACGGTGCAGGCAGCCTTCTGCAAGGGTTTACTAACCACGCTTTGGTTAACCATGTCAAAACCCTGTGGCTCTGAGCAGGAGGTGGTGGAGCTCCTTCTGTCTGTAGTATTCTTTTAACGTTTAGTACCCACTTGGAAGTGTTGCCATCAGTTACCCCTGCGGGTTGTTTGGAGTCAGGGCTGCTTGTTTATTTTGAGATTTTTCCTGTGTCAGTTTCTAGAGATGCCTGTCCAATCCTAGGTTCCCAAGACATTGTTGTACTGTTTAAATGATAATGGAAGCAGTTTCAATGATGAAGGTAATTTGCCTTATATGACATAGGAATGATGAGACAACGACTTGCTTTTTAATGGGGCATCTCTCCTGCTTCTTTGAGTAACAGTTGATTTAAAGATAAAATGAAGCAGGACAATTACTGCTTCATTGTTGAATCCCTGCTGTCTAATAGTTTAACCTGTATTTTAAAAAAAATTTTTTAAGGTGCGTTTTGTTTTGTTTCTGCCTTTTTGCTGTGGTGCTCCTGGTAGTCACTCCATAGCTAAGAGGGACTGATTCTTGTCTCGCATTGTTCTTACAACCCAAGTTCAGTTTCTTGTTGAGGAATCTGATGATAAAATCACTGTATTGCTCTGCTTTATCTAAAATGCAAAAATGAGATTTAGTGAATTTCCACTTACCTTAATCATGTTTTCCCACAAATTGTTTCCTGTTTTATGGCTGATCATTAAGTCTCACTGTACATGCTGAGGGAATATGTAATTACAGCTGCTTAGTGTAAACAACCTGCATGATGGCTTTAGACTGCTGCACACTGAGAACTTTTCAAGAACATCTCCTGGTTTAAGCAAATATATAGTAAAACTGGTGAACAGCATGGATACACAATTCCCAGCCTACCAGAGATGTTTACTTTGTCATGGCTTGCTTAGGGTGTGAGTGGCCATCTGAAATTGTTGTATTGGCCCTGCCTGTGTGACTGGGTACAAATCCTGACTAAATGCACCTGCTGAAAAAAAATTGATTCATCTTCACTGTCTTTATGTGATTGATACTTCACCAGCAAAGCTAAATTAAATGATTTTTTAATCAATATTATTTGCCATTTTAATTTTGAAATTATTTGTTTGTAGGCTAAAAAGTGAAATAGCACAAGCAATATCCCACAGCTTCCTCTTCCTGTTTCTTCTGTCTCTGGTGATTTTACTATAATCTAGCAGTTTGTACAATATGAAGCAGTTAACCAACACCTAATTATGAATTATGTTCATGCTTTCTTGTGGAATTTAGGACTGTAATAGTTAAAGGCTCTAATTGATTCTGAGGGGGGATCATTCTTTGTAATTATTCTCAGTCTTCCTAGTCTGTTTGTTGTTGGCTGCCAGGTGAACCAACAAATAAGAAGCATTCAAGTGGAAGTGTGCTTTTTATAATGCATTCTCAATGGTACAATGCTGTTTGCAATATTGTCCCAGCATTGTTTGCAAATACTGGCGTACACCCTTAATGAAGTACTGTTCAAGAAAACAATGGGATTATTTCAGTTCAGGGTGTTGGATTTCTCCCACTTCTACTCTCAAAAATATTATAGAAGAAAACAAATAAAACCTCACCTTCCTTACAAAGAGTAGTTACAGAGCAGCTAATGATGTGTAATTTAGATCTTAAGGGCAAAGTTTTGCCTCCTGGTCTTCGTTGTCAGAATCTGAGTGACAGGTCTGTACTGGAAGGAAGAGTATGATTTTAGTATTACAATATGTCATGGAGATTAGAATTTTGATCAGAGAACAGAAATTTTCTAGAAAAATGAAAGGTTTGCCAGCATTGTGCTTACGCATGTACACTTGAGCTTTTGTTTTGTTTTGTTTTGTAACTATTGACCTGCCAGCTACCCAATAGTATTTACAGAATGATTGATTAAACATGTATAAGGACAAAGTATTTTCTTCTGTACAGCTGAAATTTTTGTTAAAGGCACTGGGAACTGCCTCCTTTTTTTTTTTTTTTTTTTTTAGACAAAGCTAACTGAATGCATGAATGCCACTGCACATAGCTGACAAAGGCAGAGCATCTTTGTGAAAAGGCTCTGTAAATTCTTTCCCACAGAAGTCAACGAAAGGATCGGTTGTCCTGGGCTACGTATTCCGTCACTTAAACCTAGTGGAGATAGATTACTTTGGACTGCGCTACTGTGACCGAAGTCATCAAACGGTGAGTAAAAGACATGGGAAATTGGAGTTTCCATATGTAAAATTTACCCTGTTTGCACCATTTGCCTGTAGAGCATTGGTTTGTCATACTTTCACTAACTTTCACTATTTCATGGCTCAGGTTTCCAATAATAATTTCGTTGTGTTTCTTTGCATTAAAGTCCCAGAATAGCCATTAATATCTTAGATAGGAACAGAATCAGATGCTAAATGTTGTTGAAAACTAAATGAAGAAAGTATAAATAGTACAAAAGTATGATATAAAAGTAGGATTAATATTTTTTCCCTTTTAATACTGTGCCCTGAAGCCAGTGTTTGGTGTACTGGCTGTCTGGCTTCGCTTGGCCCTGTGGTGTCTGGGAAGCAGTGTCCCTGAGTGTGCACAGGCTGCTTCACTTGGACCACTTGCTGAACGCCTGTTTCAGAGTGTATTGTATAGTTGGTGTGGTGGCTGCCTGTTCACTGGTAGAGCCCCAGGAGTCAGGGTGTTGGCAATGACATTTTCACTTCGCCTGAACCATCTGTGTGTCCTTAAGCCCATGCTCTCTTGAGCCTTCTTGACAGAGACTCACCAGACGTCTGAGAGCTTTTTTCACCAGGAGGTTACAGTCCTAAATAGGTAAGAAAATTGAAACCAGGCTGAGATGTTTCAGTCCCAAAATGGCCTGTGCAGGGTTACTGCAGTCAGAGGTGAGGAGCAGGGGATGCTCAGCAGGTGGGACCAGTGCTGTATGCATAGGATGCTCATCATGTTACCTTAATTTTATAAAGGCAATAATGCCTGGCCTGTGGTTAAATTAAGTGAAGCAGTTATGCTTTTAATGTCACTGTTCTGTATTGAGAGTTCTGCAGAAGATCATGACCTCAAGAGATGTCATGTTTCATCTAAAAATAATAAGTAATTGAATTGGCTGAATATTTGCCAATTTCTTCTGTTTAGCAGAAGTTGAACATGTAGAGGCTGAAGTCAGAACAGTATTAGCAGAAGATTATTGATTGCTGCTCAGAGCTACAGACTGCCCTACTGAGTATATCTTTATTTCTGTGCTATAGTCTAGATATTTATTAATTCAGTTCCTTGATAAGCTTCTAACCAAGTTTCATTCCGTGGAGATGAAAGTCAGATTCAGCTGTGAACTAAAGGCAGACTGTTAAAAACAGTGGTTTTGATTTCCTGAGGAAATTGAGGTGTGAATGAAGAGCAGGTAGGTATTTTTTGCTCTCAGAAGTGTTTTGTTTTTTCCTGTAGAGGCAAATAAAATAGAAATGGCTATTACTGGGAACATTTCCAGCAGCATACACACTGTGTATTTAATGGTGTATATGGCATTATGAAAATAAGAGAAGATTACATCTCTTCTGTGAAACGCTTAACAGATAAAGGCACATTTTAGGACACGTCCTGCTAACAGACTAGATGATTTGATTGTATGATACCTGTGCATTTTGTATTATGGTAGTGTGCCTGAGCTGTAGGCCATAACCCCATTAATTCAGCCTCTCCAAATATGAATACAGCCTTTTTGCCTTTTTCCTCTTACATGATGGTGGTAAATTTAACGTTAGCCTTTGTCTTTATTCCCTGGCCAGCCCAAGGACAGGAAGCCACTGTGCTTCTTGATTTTCCCATGGATTAAAAAGGCGTTCATCCAACTTCCTCACTACTAGAAAGACATTGAGGTGCTGGAGCGTGTCCAAAGAAGGGCAATGAAGCTGGTGAAGGGTCTGGAGCACAAGTCTTAGGAGGAGCGGCTGAGGGAGCTGGGGTTGTTTAGCCTGGAGAAGAGGAGGCTGAGGGGAGACCTTCTTGCTCAGTACAACTACCTGCAAGGAGGTTGTAGCGAGGTGGGGGTCGGCCTCTTCTCCCTAGTAACGAGTGATAGGACGAGAGGAAACGGCCTCAAGCTGTGCCAGGGGAGGTTTAGGTTGGATGTTAGGAAAAACTTCTCCACTGAAAGGGTAGTCAGGCATTGGAAGAGGCTGCCCAGGGAAGTGGTTGAGTCCCCATCCCTGGAGGTATTTAAAAGACGGGTAGATGTGGTGCTTAGGGACATGATTTAGTGGTGGACTTGGCAGTGATAGGTTAACGGTTGGACTTGATGATCTTAAAGGTCTTTTCCAACCCAACCTAAATGATTCTATGATTCCCTGATTTGCGGGCTCTTGCACCGACATCGGTCATGTCATGGGGATACAGTTTGCAGTAGCACGGACATGAAGCTCTAGCCCCTCTCTGCATGGAGATCTACCGGCCCGTGCTTTGCCTGGCTTCTGCACTGCTGGGCAGGCGTCTCTGCTGCCTGCTTGTGTTCTGCTCCCCTGATGGGAGTGCTGTGTGTCTCCCCCCACCTGCGGGTTTTCTTTGCAGGGAAATCCCAGGTGTGTGGGAGAGCGGTGCACACATCAGCTCTGTCCTGACATGCAGCTGGGAAGCAGCCAGGAGGTACAACCAGAGACCACAACGGTGGGCCATGTTACAGAGCGCGTCTGCCCTGCCATGTAGGTGCTGCCACAGTGACTGACCAAGTTTGTGCTGCAGGCTTTGCACCTGGGCTGTGTTGTAGCAAAATATTGTGAAAATGCCTGTTCATGTTGTTTTTCTGTGTATGGGTAATTAAAAGTCGATGCTGCTTTATCTGTAAAGTTCACGAATGAGTAAACCTGTGCAACTGTATTTAGTTTTATGCGTTTTATGACAATTGTTGCTAGCTTACTATTTTTAGTGAAATCTTGTAAGCTCTTAAGAATGGCCAGTATAAAGGTAAAGCTTCCATGCAACAAATAACACCTTGTGCTTTAGCTGTAAACATATATTCAGTTGTGCACTGAATGTGGCTAAAACTCTCTGGGCTGTTGTGGGAATTAGTCTTGTAACAGCTGGCAAGAAGCCGGGATTTGAATTTTGGATTGAATATGTTTTGGATTGGCCACAACAGATTTCCTAAGGGAAGGGGAAAAAGGTTACCTTGCTAATTAGTTTTAAAACCATGCTCCTGAGTTAGTCTCAGACAGAGAAGGGTGTTTGGAGGTTTGGCTACCTATTAATGCATTGCTCGTGGTGGGGAGTATTTTATTATTTGCTCTGTCAGGTTTTTTGTCACACTATATATTTAACTGAATGATGAATAAAACAGGGTGGACAAAACTATGTATTTTAAAGAATGCAACCCAGTCACGGAAGAAACATTTTTTTATTAAGGGTTTGAAAGAACTTGTTTCATTATTTTCCCCATTACTTTGGCATGCCTCAGCACTTCTAGGTGGACTTTTAAGTGCTGTGTTGGTATGCTACCTCTTATGGGGGTGGTATCATAATTATTTGAGTAGTACCAGTAGGGCTCCAATCAGTGAACAAGGTTTCACTGTGCTATGTAGTATACAAATGCATAACACTAAAATGGTCTCTTCCCAAACAGCTAACAAACTAATTAGCATGTGAGAGAGAATAGCTGGATGCAGCAAACAGATTGACAGAAATGGATGGCACTGGGAAGACTATGAACAGTAGGATAAAGCATAAATTGGATGACACTGTCTCTAGGGTAGTAATTTGGTCGTATTACACAAATTTCGCTTTATTGACATTCCAGGTTCCCCAAATTCTCCATGGTAAAAGGACAGTATTTAATTTGCAAAATCAAGCTCTGGAAGGTTACGAGTTGCCAGAACAGTGTAAGCTATACCCATCTTGTGCTTTTAACAAGACTGGACTCCTAAGGAAAAACAAAAACTATAGTTAATCAAAATATAACACTTAAAAATTAATTAAAAATCTTGTAATATAAAACTACACCCAAATAACAGATGGGTTGAACTAATGCTGTAGATTGTCAGTAGTGTTTCCTAACCTCTGAGTGCTTTGGTTGACCAACTACATGGTGCTTTTTAATGTAGTACATGAGTACCTTTTTTGGTGCAAATACTTTAAAAAGAAGACCGGTTTTCTTTGAGCGCCATTGAATCTCTCAGTGTGGTTCTTCAGCCCTTCACCTGAGCCTTTTGCATTGCTGCAGAGACTGCTGACACTCAAGTTAGGCTAAGCTGAGACCAGATGTGGTCTTTATGCTTCTTAATGTGGATGGTCAGCTGGGTCCTGACTGATTAGGCATTTTTGTCTTCTGCCATATCTGCCAGAAATGCGGGACATTGTGCCCCATCTTGTGTTTTCAGGTGAGACATGATCCCCAGAATCTGTGTTGCAGAAGCTGAAGGTGGCGTAGGAAACTCTGTCTTGCCTTTTAGTCTCTCATCGCTTTAGTATCCGGGGAAAACAGCAGCCTGGTGATGTACCTCTCTTTTAGCGGAGGAGAGGCCAAATGCTGGGTAAGCCAGTACTGGGAGGGCCATGAAGGTCCCCTGCCCCTCTCATTTCTGGGTCTCACCGTGCAGCTCCCTGGTGCTCCCCACATAGTCCCTTTGCTACTGCCTTTGTGGTATCTCCAGTGTGCCTTAGGATAGTGGTGCTAATTACTGTTCTGGCAGGAGGCCAGTATTTTCTTGAGGCACACAAAAGAGAGAATGGAAATGGCAATTTTAACGCATAATATCTCAGGAAAAGCTGAGTGGAATTTGATGAGGGAAAGGGTACTTTTGAAGCCCAAAGGCATTCCCTTGTCAAATCACAAAAGCGGTCTGAAAAGAGTCATGCTATTAGAGCTTCTCTTACAAAAAAGATTTTGAAACTCCCTTATTGCAGAACACTAGACAACCAAAAGCATTTTAAAGGTCTGTTGATAATAAAAACTTCTTTTTTTTACTTCCAGAAACCTGGCTGCACTTTACAATCTCACATTGGTCAGGCTGCCCCTCACCATCCCTAACTCTCACGCTAAACCTGCTTAACCTAAAGCTGCAAGAGGCATGTCTGCATTGTACAGCAGCCTGTGATGCAAATATCCCTCTTTTCTTGTCTGATATAATGGTAATCTGAGCTATTATATTCACAGTGTACAGCATACTGACACTCTCTTAGGGCTCTAAGGGGAGAAATACAAATACAGA